CTTGCTAATCACTAATGTCACAAGTCTCTGCCCGCTGGAACAGATGTCAGAAGAAGGTGTAGTGAGTGACAGCAAGCTGCTTCCTTCTCTCCTTGAAGAGGGATAATTTAAAGAATTGTTATCCAATGCTTTTAGTCAGGGAACTGTAAATATTTGAGACTGGTTTGCTCTTCAAAATATTTTAAGAGAGCTTCAGAACTGAACAGATTTCTACAGCTGTTGTAGATGTTGGGAGCACTGGTGGCAGTGATAAGAACAGCTAGATGATAACACAAGTATATGGAGGACTTTTGTTTTTCTACAGAACACTTTCATTAGCAAATGAAGATTACCCAAAATCAGATGCTCCTCAAACGGCTAATTTGCTGAAATCCTAATGGAAATATGGGGGCTACAGCCTATCTAGTAGCTGCCTTGAAGACAATAAGAAAGCTGAGGGCCCAGAAACTGCAGGAGCTTAGGAAGAAACCACAGGCTCCCAGCCAGCACACCCAGTGGGCTGGTATCACATCTCTCAGGCTTTCTGGGGAGGACTGAAGTGTTCTATATCTTTAGAGTCCTATTTTAAAACTGAATAGCATTTTATTGTTCTTAATTCCATAATTAAGAAAGCTAAGTAACAGAAAAATATGGTACTTTTAATCACATGGGCTTTTAAACCGTACAGACTAAAACCTATCAGCTCATATTATCAAAACCAAATTGATACAGTTATGTAAAAACATCTCCTGGTACAAGTCTGACAAAAGCTACCTCATATTATTCAGTCCCCATAAAAAACCAGCTCAGCTTTGGGTGTTACTTCCTCTTCTTTTCCAAGAAATTATTGAGTCTGTGCTCAGCAGACCTTGTGCAATGGGTTCAGCGTTGCTGTCCTTCCATCTACCTTTGGAGGTCATGATGACAGGAAAAGTATCTGCTTTTATATATTTAGAGATTCTGTGGTGGAAATTGTTCATATTATGAAATTTTGGGCTCCTAAATAATTCAAGGAGGTCAAGCAGCTATGATTCTAGATGAAGATTTTTGACTGAGTGGTTCTTTCCCACTGAAGCCATGAGAAAAAAGAGCTATTGGTAAATGTATTATTGTGTTAACCAAAGAGGTGGCCTGATTTGCCAAAATAAACCCCATTGTACGTACATCACTGTACACCATAAAGCACTGTCCAATAGAAACCCCTGTCACTAACAAAAGTAACAAGCAGCTCTCTCAATATTCCTCAAACTTCCATAAGTTTCATAAAGGAAAGCAAAGTACTTGACACATTTCAGCAGCAGTAAAAATGGTAATAGTTCCTTGTGGGAAGACAGAACTCAGATGTGGAAACTGAGATGTGAAATAAAATTTATTTAGACCATATCTTCCTGGTTCAGAATACACAAAAGACTTGGGGTTCAAGAGAGTCAGATTTTAATGAAATAAATCAGTGTGTCTGCCTCATCTGATGGAGATGACGCAGTTTGTACTGAGACTGAAGGCATGGAGAAAGGCAGTGATTGAAACTCTGCTATACCCATAGCTAAGATTTGTAGTCTTTCAAAACCAGCAAGATACCTGACACTTTTATAGCTCCATCTTCTCTGTGTTCTCAGATCAGGTAGTTGTAGGGAGCAATTAAGTCCTCTGAAGTTGTTTCTTCTTCAGGCTGAAGAAGCCCAGCTATCAGTCTCTTTTCATGTGTCATATGCTCTTGACCCTGACCCTTGGTGTTCCTCCACTAGGTTCACTCCTGTGTGTTAATATCCTCATGCTGAGAGCACAAAACTAGACACATTACTCCAGATGTGGCCTTACAAGTGCTGCATAGAAGGGAAGGATTACTTCCCAGTACCTGCTGTCAAAACTCTTACTAATGCAGTCCAGGATACCTTCAGCTTGTTGTCCCCTGAGACCCAGGGCCTCTACTAAAGATCTACTCCCCAGAGAACTGGATTCCAGCCTGCCTTGTTGCCTGGGATTACTCCAACCCAGAGACAAGACCTTTCATTTGCTCTTGCTGAACTTCATAAGGTTTCTGTCAGCCCATTTCTCCAGCCTGTGCCATGTCTCCCCACTCTTCCCAATTTGGGTCATCCCAAACTGCTGTCACCTGCAAATTTGCTGACAGTACTCTCCATCTCATCATCCAGTTTATCAATGAAGACATTGAACATTATTGGTCCCAGCACTGATCCCTGAGGGATCCACTACTTACTGTCTGCAAGCTTGGCTTTGCACCCTTGGCTTTGCACCATTAATCACAGCTCTCTAAGCCCAGCCTATTTTCTATCCACTTTATAGTGCCTCTATCCATCCCATGTCACAGCAATTTGCAGGCTATGGAGGAGGCAATGGGAGGTTGTCAAAAGCATTAAAATCAAGGCATACAGTAGCCACTGTGCTTCCCTTGCATCACAGAAAGCATGATTTGAAGATTGAAAACATTTCAGCTACTCCCATTCACCTTGTTGTTCTTCCTGATTTGCTCCAACAACTTTCTCCGGGATTGAGGTGAGGCTGACTGGCCTCTAATTATCTGGATCTTCCTTCGTATCATTCTTGATAATCTAGTTCTGCAGATTTGTGTATGATATCCACATGATTTAAGTGATGCCTGACTCTGCCTTGCTCTGCTGTGGGCACTACTTCACTCCCCCTGACTGCTAAGAGACTCAGGGACCTGGAAGTCCTAAGGTAAAGCCTCATGAGTGAAAACCAAGGTATAAAAAAGAATCCAGTACCTCAGCCTTTCTCATGCCCCTCATCACTAGGTTCACTGCTCCACTGAGCAGTGACCCACATTCAGCCTTTGTTTTGCTGCTGATGTATTTTAAGAAACCTCTTCTGTCAGCCTCCCTGGCTAGTTTCAGCTCTAGCTGAGCTGGAGCTTTCCTGGCTCCTTTCCTACATACATGGAAAATGCCTCTGTCTCCCTCCCAGGTAATCTGTCCCTGCTTGTGTGTGCTTCCCTCTCTGTGTCTGAACGAAGTCAGAAGCTCCATGTTCACCCACGCTGATCTGCTGTAATGCTTGTCTTCTGAAGAACGAGAAGGAGAGTTCTTATGCTCAGAGGATGCTGTCCTTGAAGACTAGCTAGCTATCCGGGGCCCCTCTGCCCCCCAAGCCAGATAGCTACAGGATCCTGCAAGCACATCCCTGAACAGAGCATCTCCCCCCATCACATTAGTGATCATCTGTATCAAGAAAACGTCTTTAATCTGTTCCAGAAATCTGGATAGCTTGTGTCCAGCCATATTGGCCTTCCAGTAGATATTGTTATGGTTTAAGTGATCCAAGATTAGCGATGCCTGAGGCTTTTTTCACCTGCCTTAAGAATGTGTCTTCCTAAGAAGGAAGACCTTTTGGTTTTGCTAAGAAGGTCTATAACAGACACCAACTACAATATCACCTGTGTTGCTCCATCATTTGATCACTGCCCACAAGCTCGTTGCTGGTTTGCTATTTCACCCAAGGCTCCACCCCCTCAAAACCCACCTGTGCATAGACCTAACCTTAAGGTAGATCACCCATATCAGCACCTTGCTAGCACCTTACAGTACTTGTGTTTCATATACACAGTTGGGTTCCAGGTTAAAGAGCTGCATCATGCTTGTTACAGAAGAAAGGGGGCTTCATTAGGATCTTTTCATCAGAGAACAAGGACAATGCATGAGTAGGCAAATGGAAAAGTATCTGTAGAACTGATTTTGATGCTGTTGAAATGTAATTTGCTTTCTTGGCCACAGGGGCACATTGCTGGCTCTTGGTGAATTTGTCCTCCAGAACTCCCAGATTCTTCTCTGCGCAGCTGCTTTTCAGTAGGTCAGCCCCTATCCTGTACAGGTGCATGGGGTTATTCCTCCCAGGTGCAGGGCTCTACACTTGGCCTTGTTGAACTTGGTTATGCTCCTCTCCACGCAGCTCTCCAGGCTGTCCAGGTCTCGCTGAATGGCAGCAAAGCCTTCTGGTATGTCAGCTACCCCTCTCAGATTCATATCATCAGCAAATTTGTTGAAAAGTACATTCCATCCTTTCATCCAGGTCGTTGATGAGTATGTTGAACAGGACTGGACCTGGTACTGATTCCTGGGGAACATTTCTAGCTACAGGCCCCCAGATAGACTCTGCACCTCTGATTACAACCCTCTGAGCTCTATCCTATAGCCAGTTCTCAATCCACCTCACTGTCCACTTACCTAATCCACACTTCCTAAGCTTACCTGTAACGATATCATGGGAGACAATGTCAAAAAGTTTCTTGAGCTCAATGGACACCAACCATTGCTCTCCATAAACGCACAGGTTCAAATATGTTGCTAAACAGAGACTTTATCATTAAAAAATTTCTCACTCTTTTTAAGATTTTTTTTGGGGAATAAAATATACCCTAGGACACGGACAGGTACAATTGCATTTTCAAACATGAAAACCGTGCCCTTTAATTCAGTGTAAAATTCAGTGTTCAGTCATTATGTCATGCCTGTCATTATGTACCACGATGCCCAAGTCTTGTTCCCAGCTTAACTCATTCATTATATGAGGCAGCTGTTGAAACCACAGACTGCTGGACATCCAGCTTTACAACAACCTGGTATTTTAGCTGCTACTTACCTCTTATTTGCAAAGGTATGATAATTATTAGTTTAGTAAGTGCCTATAGCAAAACTTGGCTAAAAAGAGAATGTTTCACATCTTGACTTTACATCCCAGAGGTATTTGTTACTCAGTTTTACGAGTTTAGCTGAAAATTCTCAGTCTTTAGATCATCTGCATGCAGTCAAAGGTAAGTAATAGAAGAAAGAGCTCTGTAACGTTCCCAACACCTCTCAAAGTATATTAAAAGAACCCCTACCAAAACCCAAAAAACATAAACCTCAAACTCCAAAGTTCTTGTTTATAACAAATCCCTTTAAGCTTAGGATTTCTGTCTGGAGTTTTAAGTCAGCTCATTCATCTAAGCAAGACTTTGATGAGTAACTTGATTTCTTCAAGCTAGAGATGCAGCACCAATTGCTTACCTGACTCACACGCAAATGTCTTTGATGTCTCATCATGAAAGATAATTGCCACTGCATGCTTCTTTGTCTCTCGAGGCAATCTAGTTATGTTTTTGATATTGTGCAGCTCAGTGACCTTAAAATGAAGAGAAGTATTTTAGGTCAGTGTATAAATAGTACAAATAAAAAATAGTAACCATAACAACTCGATTTTTACTATAATCTGTTTTTTCCCCCTAAGGTTATTTACATTTATGAGGTTTTTTTCATTGATAAAACCACATAAATAGTAGAGCCTAAAGCTGCAGAACTTTCTATAAAATGTAATGTATTAGGAAGTGAATGGTCTGTTTCTCTAATAAAGTCCTACTTGGAAACATAGTTATTACAATGACATCAATACAGCCTTGAAATCATAACATATTTCTCAATGTCTGTACTCATACAACTTTGATCAGCTTCAGAACCTGCATGAAATACAAAACCTAATGTAGGAACAGCCGTGTTTTATTAGTGAGGAGAAGTAACTCAATTACCATGCCAATTAGTAACACTACATTTGTAAAGATGAACCATTTGTCTTTAAAGTGTAATTGTCAGCCTCATAAAACTGACAATTTTACATTATTTTCAAATTATTAGAATAGCTTATCAACAAAAAAGTACTCTTGTAGCAAATTTACAGCATGAACAATTCAATCTATTTCCAGTTTCTTTTGATGCAGGTAGATAACTAGAATTAACACAAAAGAAAGGAAAACATGTTATTATAACAAGAGTTGTTGGCACAACCTACATCAAATTGCTTAACACATTGCATTGTAAAATCTTGTTCTCAGCTTCTTGGAACTCTAGGCAAACTTTCTCTGGTTTTAGTTAGCTTTTCCAGGCAGGGCATCTGCCTCAGGCAGAATTAGTTTCTTTGAAATGTCATCCACATGAGTTTGGCAATCTATGACGGGGGAAAAAATGGACTGAATGTGGGTGGGTTTTTTTTTTCTTTTGTTTTATAGTTCTTACGCTCCCTGTGTACAGCCCCAGCATTCCTTTTCATATGCTGGAAAGAATGGGGTTTAAGAGACAGAGATTTTATACAGTGCAGTAAAAAATGGAACATGTTGGGGCAAAGACACTGCAACAATATTGAGAACAGATGAGTAGCGAGAGCAATCAAGAAGCCAGGGAAAAGAAACTGAGAAAAAAGCACAAAGTAGAACGTGTAGGTGCTGATGAAAATTCTGAGACCAGAACTGAAGCCTGCTATGGGGTTTATCTTGATAGCCTTCAGCAAAAAAGGCTTTGTTTAGTGGTGACTCGGCAGAGCTGGGTTAACAGTTGGACTTGGTGATCTTAAAAGTCTCTTCCAACTAAAAGGATTCTATGATTCTAGAATTCACTCCAGTCTGACAATACCTTTGCTGCAACAAGTGGGCCAAAACTGGATGCAGTCCCCTAGTTATGATCTAATGAGTACTGACCAGAGGGGGATAATCGTTCCCTGCATCAGCTGTTCACACAGCCCATGGAGCTATTGGCCATCTTGGCTGGCTGAGGCACCACGGGCCCTTCCCATAGGTCTGCTCCCAGCCTCTTCATTCCAAGCTTGTGCCACCTCAGTGGCTCCTCTGTCCCAGGGCCAGCACCTGGCACTTGCCCTTACTCAGTTTCACAAGGTCTGTTAGCCCATCCCTACACAGCTCATTCTGGTCTCTGGAAGGCAGCCTGACTACTGAAAGCATATTGACTACTCTTTCCCAATTTGCTATCTGCACAGTTAGTGAGCACATGCTCCAGTAACTCCTCCAGGTCCCTGTTAACAACACTAACCAAGAGAGGTCCCAGTACACACCCTGGCAGTTCTGACTTCCACGCAGAGTATGACCTATTGACCGCAAATTTCTGGGTCTGACTAGCCAATCTGCTTTTCATTGTCTAGACATCCACCCACCTAGATGTTAACATCCCAACTTGGATATAAGAATATTGTGGGAGACAATGTCAGAAGCCTTGCTAAAGGTGAGTACCCAGCAGCACCCACTCCTCTCTCCTCATCTGAAATCAGAGATGGCTATCAGACTGGCCAGGCATCACTCACCCTTGGTAAATCCATGCTGCCTCTTTCCAGTACTATCTTCTTCTTCACATGCCTGAAAACACATTTTAAAAGGACTCACTCCATGGTTCTTCCCATGGGCTGAAGTGAGACCTGTAGTTCCCCAGGTTGATCTTTTGGCCGTTTTTTATTGGATATTAGTGCATCGTTTGCTTTGCCATTGTGTTCCTCACCCCTTTCAATCTTATTTTTAGTTATGCATTTTCAGGGCTTTGCAAGAATCCATCTATTTATTTATTTTTGCTTTGGGGGAAAAGAGAAGGGCTGCAGATACCACTGTCTCATTAAAGGAATGACTAAAATCTCTACCAATTTTCCTTAATCTATGCATGGTAGATGATCTAGTATGTGAGAGGATTTCTCTGGCCTATTCAAAGCACAAATCTCAAGGAAATCCCATAAAAGGGGCAAGTAAGCATTAGAGGAGAGAGCCATAATTCAAAACCTGAGGGAACAATACCAAATCTAGAAGTCATTACTGAATTCTGAAGGCCCAGAAGGCCCTGGAGTAGGAGACAGGGAAGAAGAGGGTATAAGAGAAAAAAAGTTTTCAAATATTTGGGATGCAAAAAAAAGTCAAGGTTATTCTTAAAGACAATTTATATTTTCAAAATAATTTAAAGATACACATAGCTTTTCCTCTTAAAGGGTCAAAAAGATAACTAACAGTGTAACATAGAACAGGAAACAGTAACAGGAAGACAAAAATCCGAGTGATTCTAACACAAGGGAATGAAACACAAAGTGATATTTTTACATGTGTGTGCAGGTGTGACAGTGCACATCATGCAGAAAAATATCTTGAAATCTTGTACTATTAAAAAGGAGAAATTTGTCTTTCTGAATAGCAGAAAAGGAAATAGAAATGTTTTGAATCTTTGATAACAGGGTATATTAAGCCTTCTTCCATTGCCTCTCAAGACAGTATAGATCTACCCTTTCCTTTAACATTTGAGTGTTATAGATTACAGAAAGATCCTGAAACACTCATAAATTTGATAATAGATCCAAAACTTTTACATTTCTGACATCAAAGCTCCATAACATTCACAGTAATTTTTGTTCGAAACCTAACTACAGGCAACAAGGGACATGTACCTGGCCATCTATGAAGATGATTTTATGGGTTCTCTTGTTGCTGAAGACATTAGGCCTGTTTTAGTTAATATATTGACAGAACTTTTTTTTTTCTTTCTTTCTTTCTAATGCAAAATCACTCACACAAAGTGAAAAAACAACAGAATTGTATTTTACTTGCTGGTAGGAATTGAACGTCTGAAGGAGACAATGAACACACCACCAAATTCTGATGTTCTGTTTTTTGGTACCCATATGAGAGACTTGGTTGAACAAAATGCAAGATGAGTGCAGAATGACAGTCTCCATACAGGGGAAAAGGGGCTTTGTTTTAAACACTTTCCAACTGTCCTTTGTCTCTAGAATCCTATCGTGTTCCTGCACAGCACAGAAATTCTTATCACTGCAATGTGACAAGCAAGGAGTAACATGAGTTGCTTGTTGTTCCAAGCTTCCAGGCTTTTACTTACTTTTTTTTTTTTAAAGAAAGGTTTTCTGAGCCATTCAGAGTTTCCCACAGAAGTCATAAACCTCTTGTGTACAAGTTTTCACAAAATTGAGCCTATTTCAAACTATCATGAGATCTTAGAAGATCTCTTTTCTTGTCAAATGTTTTAATGGTTTAACACGAGTAGCCAAAATATTTCTACCAGTTTCAAAAAAAGAAAATAATTTAAATAAAAAGAAATATTTTCACTTTCAAATGCTTTGTTTTTCGAGAACTGAGTTTTCATGGAAATAGTATTGTTTTAGTCACAATATTCTGAGGATAAAGGGAATTTATACCTACGTGAGACAGGAAAAATAATCAATTTTACTGGGTAAACTAACAGGAAAAAAAAAGATTAAAAAATGCTTTAGCACTCAGTCCCACCATTGTATCTGAGAGAGCAGCAAATTTCAGGGACTCAAGGAACGCTTCATGTTGGAAGTGACCTCTCTACATCATCTAGTGCAATCCCTCTGGCTCAAGCAGGATCACCCAGAACCAGTTGCTTGGGAATATGTCCCGATGGCTTTTGAATATCTCCAAAGTAGGAGACACAGCAGCCTTCTCGGGCAACCAGCTTGGGCCAGTGCTTTGGTCACCTTCACAGTAAAAAAGCGTTTACTGGTTTCAAATAGAGGTGAATTCTTGCTTCCATGTTCATCTTTTGAATTTATACTGCATGTTTCCTTCCACAATCAGAGCAGAAAGACAGAGCAAGAGTAATGACACTGTGAAAGTCTAGCCTCCCACTGCTAGAGAGAATTGAAGTTAATCAAATTCCAAATTCTTGGTTTAATGCCAATGAAGCGTGAATCATTTCTCTGCTCGCTGAACATTTGCAATTAAAAAATAAAGACCTAAGAGTTTATTTTATTTTGGATGAAGGAAAACCAAACTGTGCTTTGGCAATACAGGCTGCTTTATCTCAGTGATTTTTAAAAATGTGCTTTAAAATTAATTTTTTTTTAAAAATAAATAAACCTTTTTAAAGAGAAAAAAAATCAAAGCTACTGAAAAGATCAAAAAAAAATTGAAAAAATTTAAATCATCACTTTGGGAACTTTAAGAAGGTTTGAATAGACTACTCAAATTGAAAATATATCAAGAAGAAAAAAGCTCCTTTTTTTTGTTTTTATAAGCAGTGCATTAGGCAAATCTACTTTTTTTAAGCAAGGAGTGTTATTCAACAAATATTTGCCAATATTTTCTCCCTGTGGTATCATAATACATTTGATGGCAAAATACAACCTTATTCATTGAAAACACTGCTGTTCTTCACAAAAAGAAGTTACTATTCTGGAACATCCCAGACTACTGGTAACCTTGTACCAGTAACAAAAAAAGAATGAAGGGAAAATTATGTACCATTACATATGTAAGAGACTTAACTAGACATTTCACAAAAAAAAAAAAAAAAAAAAGATGGAAATATTGCCATTGAGGGATTATACTTTGC